AAAGTTAATTTACGAAAATAACTGTCAATTTGGGGAAAAATAAGGTATATTTACAAAAAATTTAGAAAATCCCAGAATTTTTAAGTCGCGAAAAATTTGGATATGTCCGGAAAACTTTTCCACCCCTAAAATGGTACACTAACCGAACATTTTTTGGCGAGAGGGGGGGGGGGGTTGTCGCCGAAAATAATTTTCCGGAAAATATTTTCAGGTAAAATTTGAAAATTTGATATTTTCAGGTAGATTTAACCAAACACCCCCCCCCCCCTGAAGCGAGTTCCTCGCGACGGCACTGAGTTATTGTTTTAACATATTTCTGAAATCATGCAAAGGACCTGTTGTATAATTTCAAGTAAAATTTGAAGAAAAAATTATATATTCCATCAAAAACCTTTTCTGAACTCCTCCAAAGACACGGCACCATCTTTGTCAAGATCGAGAGGCTCCAATACTTCATCCACAAACACATCACGCATGCGCGGAAAGAGATCCATGTATTGATACGCCACATACTCATCTAAACTCAGCTTATCATCTTTGTTTTCGTCAGCTGCCTCGAATCTTTTGCGGTATTTCTTAATGCGAGCTAAGACTTTTTCATCTACAGTTAAATAACCAAATTCAGGGACTTACTGTTTGATTGGAGCGAATTGACTATTATAGTATTATTTAACAATTATTCACTGAGGTGAATAGTGCAAGAATATTATTAATATTCACCTAATATATTATTAGAAATTGCTTTATAGTATAGCTCTACACTACACGCAAATAAGCGACTTGCACTAATCTGATTCAAAAAGCAGGCATGGATTTATAGAAAACCTACATGATCTGTGCCAGTGTAGGTAATCCAATAATAAGAAACTGCAGATTGATAGGAATGTTTCGACGTTTCGAGCGAAGGCCTTTCGCAGGGAAGTTAGTTGGCAATGACTTCCTTGTAGTTACTTCCCAAAGAACAGTCTTCGCTCGAAACGTCCAAGTTCTCCTTGTATTTTTCAGCTACACTGGATATTTGTTTCAAAATCCTTACTATGGAAATAGCATGGATTTTTTTTGGAAATATGTCGCAATTTCCATACAATGGATATAGCATGGAAATAGTATGAATATACTATGGATTTAGTGTTGCAATTGAAAATTTTATAGTAAGGATTTTACTAATTGTTTTCCATTTCTAGTTGTATTCTTATCAATCCACAGCTTACTTTAGTATAACTTACCATAATTAGTACCAGGAAAACTGAGCTTGATATAATTCTCCCAACTCAGGAGACCATCAGCGTCAATGACAGTAATGTAATTATCTGCCCAATGTTTCTTTGCAATCTCTGATGGTTCTTTCAATGAAATGTATTTCACCCAAGCTGTTAATTCACTGCGCGATACATTGTTGTCGTCATTTTTGTCAATTTTGTCCACCAGTTTCCTTTAAAATGAAACAGATATTTTCAGTAGTTCAATATGAAAGTAATCAAAAGGTTTGTGGACTCCCAAATTCCACCTGACACTAAATGTAGATTTAAAAATTTTTCCAAGAACAAATACATAATAAAAAAGTAATTATGTTGACTTATCAATTTTATCCTGGTACACATCGCAGACTAATTACAAGTTGCAAGAAAATTTTGAATTAGATTCACGGAGAAAATTCCTGGGCGTACTGTACTTTAAGGTAAGGTTGCTATGGATATACAAAACGGAAATCTTATTTTAAAAATGAATAAAAGTGTCCAGCAAATAATTTTTTGTAACGTATATTATGAAATTTTATCAGCCAAGTTTCTTAAATGCAGTTATCTTACATTATTTGTGTCTGTTTTACTTTTATTATAATACATCACATGATGTTTAGAAATTATATCTCAGAGTGTCCTCATGATCTAAAACATTAATTCTGGCAAATAATCGACTGGCCAATCAGCAATCGTCTCACATTATAATCAAACAGATTTAATTTGTGATCAGATTCGCAGGGTCACAAACTCATAAGTAAACGTCTACGCGCAGGCCTGTAGTCGTATTTTATCAGTTTTGAACATAAAAACGCAGGATTTCAAATTTCTGACTAAGATACCTATACAAGTCGTACAACGATAATTATTATAGAGTAGAATAGTGGGTTAATTTATAAAGAACGTACCAAAGTTACATATTTATAGTTTTCCATTTTAGCAATCCGTACTGCAGGTTACTGACCGCTCAGGAACCAATCAAAATGTTGCATTTTGCAGATGGACCGGCTTGCCATCAAGCTCCCGCGTAAACAATTCATTAAGCCTGCAGCACACGAGAGCTATCTGCTGAGCCAAAAGTTACTCGTGCCTGTTAGCTCAGCAGATAGCTCACCGATCAAACATGTTTGATACGTGAGAAAAGGTTGCATGAGGCAAAAAACTCAGTAAAATGTACCCGCACACGGTGAGCTATCGGCTGAGCTAAGATAGCTCTCGTGTGCTGCAGGCTTTACTGACAAAATAATTCATTATTTACACAGAAAGCTCTCCGTAACAGTAATTCAGTAGTTCATGTTACGAAACAAATGTTAAACAATATATTAAGCATCTATTTCATAAACACTACATGTAAAATTGCATTTTCTATATTTGGTAGTTTTGACATTATATTTGGCGCATGATGGTGATGGACATTATATTCACCGCATTCGCTGTGTTCGAATATCAATATTCGGTGTTTTAGAGATTATATTCGGTATATGCTTTTTATTAAATATAATTTTTTTACACATTTGTGGTGTCACTTTTTAAAACTATCCGCGGTCACACTTACTATATATAAATAGCGAATAATGAAAGAACGCGGCGGGTAATTGGAAAAATTCGAGGACGCAATTTATGCAAATTAGAAATGTTAAATCCCAATTTTATAGTAGCCTGCGCAACGATTGAGTGAGCGGCACAGTGCTAGTCAGCACAACCAGTACTTGTATCATTAAAATATGCACAAATTAATTACTAATTATGCAGAAAATTCACCCTTCTTAACAACAATTTGTCGAGGATTCGCACGTCCTATATCTGATTGAACGCGCATCGCAATCATGGCTAATACATATTAACACTAATTTATATGAATTGATTATCCGAAAAACCCTGCATATGTTATTGATATGCCTGATGTCAGTGGTTGTAACTGCCACGTCTGAAGAACATGATCAACTACCAGACTATTAAACTGCATTTATTTCACTTACGCAAGTCTAAATACTCTTTCTTGGTTGTCCAAGTCGCCAAATTCTTCCTGTCCATTATGACCTAGGAAAGATTCATGGTCGTATTCATCATTGTGCTTGCCGTCTTTATCATAATGCCCGTCTTCCTTTCTCCCAGGCATCGAGTGCCCAAAACATGTAGACGTCGAGATGACAAGAAGGAATAAAAATCGTAAGAGTGCCATTGTATTTCAAACTTCGATACTTTTTCCGTCTATCTAAGAAGCGCAAGCAATCAATGTATTCGTCAGCGCAAATGCAAAACTTTTCTATGCGTTATGAAATTTATAACAACGCGTGGCAATGTGGCCATGCGCGATTGGTCAATTGAAGTCACATGTACAAAATGAAGCATTTTAATTGGAGACAGGTCTCAGTTCACAGACATGAAAGCTGTTATTGTTGTTGCTGTTATTATAATCATGTAATTCACGCACAGATTTGGGCCATAGTGAAATTTTGAAAACGTTACGCTCGCCTAGGAATATGCAATATAATTCACGCGGGAATCGCTAAAATATTATAATGATTGAGTTAGGCAATATATTGCAGTATAATAAATATTGATTTTCCCTAAGAACACAAGGACTCATATAACTGAGCTTCCGGTCACTTCGTAATCTGGGTGTATGAATGAATTAATTATGTAAAATTTCCCGTAACAAAGAAAATACAAAGAATACAAATATAAGAAATATTACGTTATTAATGGCTATGATCGAGCCCAAGATTTACTCAAGTAAATTATGGAAAAAATTCCGTGCACAAAGATTTCATAATTTGATCCAGATCAGTTGTGTGACCTCATGCGCATGATCTGCCAACACAATCTGGTGTACGTGGCAAACGCGGGTTTTCATCGGCCTGGGAAATGCTGACAAAGCATGGCATGAAAAGTTAATACATGTTGCATTAATTGCGATCAAGCGGGAAGACAAAATTTTTGATTATTAGCGGCAAGCAATGCTTTTCAAATAAAATATTTTTATACATTTATCTTTCTTTTTACTCCAATTGTAGATATATGGTTATATAATATAAGTAAAAAGATGAAGTAGATGCATAAAATAAAGAAATAAATAGATTTATAAAATTTACGACCCCATAATATGAACACGTTTTGTGATTGGTTGATTATAAAAATAAAACTCAATAAAACTACAATGAACGAACGAACATACACCGTAGCCAATCAACAAAACCAAATTTTAATTAAGTGAGCCATTGAGCCCGTTCGCGGGTTGACGTCCCTCTTGTAAACAAAGACAATGGTGTATTATAATATTTTCAAAACACAAAACACCGACGTGGCATATATTGCGTCGTATGTTTCAACGTGGTACGCTAAGTGCAATACACGCTTATTCACGGTGAGTCGCTGGGAATTTGTGTCAAAATGAAATGGAAAATAACGTGTTTTCTTAGCTTATTATGCTGCGCTATTGTAAACTCTATACCACGAGTACGGCCGAATGACCACTACATTGACGGAAAACATAACGTGGAGCATGATCATAAAGCATTTCTTGACGAAAGCGAGAGAAACGCATTCAAAACTCTCACTCCTCAGGAAAGTAGAATGCGTTTTAGGTAAGTGCTTGTTATTATTGCTTTACTTTTCATTTGTATTAGTTTATTGTATTATAGCTTTATAGGAACATACTTTAATATTGAAATTAGTACATTGGCCTGAGAACAAGACTTGCTCCATATCTATCGCTCAATTGTATTTTTGTTTGGGATTTATTATGGGCGCGCTAAAAGCAGACTTGGAGCATGTCTAGTATAAAACCTACGAATGTGCGCGAGACACTTAATCGAGTGTGCTTCCTGCATAATTTCCGGTATGCTAATCATTTGCTTAGTAATAAGTAATTAATAGTGCGTCGTTTCATTTCCGCACTATTTTAGGCGCCTGTGCGTTTGATGATGTCATGTAATGTTGCGCGCAGACTAGCACTGTTTCAAACTCCCACCCTCTTTAAACTGGAAAATATGTCTTTGTTATGAGAAACTTGTCATTGGTATGAGAAAAGAACTCATTGTATTAAATTCCTTTGTAACAAATGTCGTATTTCTGTTTTCTGCTGATCAGCTCATTTTGTTGTTTTTTTAATTAATTTGCATCATGACTATGTTGGTAAATACTTAGGTTTGACAATGAATCTGGTTGCGACTTTGAATTTAATTGATGTTTATACGAAATGTTAGCACTCGGAGTACATTTAACAAGTATTATATCGACACATAAGCAACATTTTGCTTTTCGTTAATTTATCAAAATTTTCCCTAGCATTATTACTTTTCAAAACATTATGTAAAAATTTCCACTGAATTACATATCTTTTTGCCCGACGAGCATTTCGTTAAAATTTCTAAAATTGCCCGACAAAAATACAATATTGGGCGGGGGGGGGGGGTCGCTCCCCCACCCCCACACGCTTATTATTTAACAAGTATAACTACATCGGTAGTTATAAGGTTGTTTAATGCTAATATTTGACATTTTCGGAATTAAGACAGTAGTTCAACGTTCAAACATCAATAACGCAGTCAATATTGCATACAAATTTAAGTGTTATATGTCAAAATCTAAGTTAGTCCGTTCTAAATGCAATGATCTTTATTTCATTGCGATAGCTTTTATAGTTTTTGCGTTATATGAAATCAAACAGTGTCCAGTTTTTGTTTTGGACACCCAGTATACATAAGTGATCATAACAGTGTCGTGAACTCCATATATAAATATAGTTTTTGCGTTATATGAAATCAAACAGTGTCCAGTTTTTGTTTTGGACACCCGGTATACATAAGTGATCATAACAGTGTCGTGAACTCCATATATAAATGGAGTAAGAACTCGCGTCCAAAAATTGAATCTAAAGATCAGTGGCGGCGCCAGGGGGGGGGGGCAAGGGGGGGCAAATGCCCCCCCAATATTATTTTTTGCCCCCCATTTTGCCCCCTCCCCCTCAAAAAAATTATTAGTCACTAAGAGCGACTAAAGGCTACACAAGCGTTCTGTCGTTATCGGAAAATGTATGGCTTATAAGTTGTCATTACTCATTAGTGAATGCGCGTATACATGAAACTGTTTTTTACAGTTTCAGTATTAGTTTGTAAATCTCTGAATGGTAAAACTTGCCAATACTCCAATAATACGTTTCAAAAAAGACAAAAAAGCTTTAGTTTTGCAGAGTTAAATTCTCAAACGTGTAAGGCAATAATAAGATGAAAGTATCACGAAATTATTTGAATAAACCACATCGCATATATGGGGGGCGAATGTCCTAAAGAGGAGCGATATTCCTAGGGTATTCGCCCCACCCCCCTGGGAGGCGATATTCCTAGGATATTCGCCCCCGGGGGCGATATTTCTAGGAATATCGCCACGTTTTGAGGGGGGGGGGGCGAATTTCCTGGGAGGGGCGACCTTTTTAAAAATTCTATCTTGCCCCCCCAAAATTTGAGTTTGCCCCTCAAATGCCCCCCCAAATTTGGAAGCCTGGCGCCGCCACTGCTAAAGATGGCGGAAATGGACATCCAGTTTCAAAATATTTTGCTATTGTTTTTCGGCTTGCACGGTTAATTAACATGAAGCATTGAAGCTGCTGGAAATGTGGCAAAATTTCGTGATTTCACTTGTGATGAATAATACTGTGGTTTTATGAACTAAGAAATTGATTAGCAATACGATCTGTCAGAAAAAGTGGAACTCACTGGCGAAAATGGCGTGAAAACTGTTTCCAACTTTCATAGATTTCGCCCTAACCTTTTCAAATTACTTATTATTATTATTATTATTTTAATAACGAACTTTTTTTGAGTAACCAAAAGTTTAAATTCAGCACAGAAGTTCTTAACAATGGTCATACTAAATATATTACATATAGGAATAAATTGTGATAAATACTAAACAAAACTAGATTATATAGAGATTATATCCTACAATTATCTTTAAAAATCATTTTAAGGTAAAAAGGAATGTTTACATCATAGGTTTACATGCAGCGGTCCGTTCAACCTCGTTCCCAGGCTCTTGAGCCTAGGAGCGAGGTTGCGCAACCTCAAAGGGAAAAGCCCTGGGAACGAGGTTGCGAGGTTGTGCTCCGTTTTGCAGATGTAATTATTAAATTTACGTGGTAATATTAAGTCCTAATTTGATGTATATGGATCTGGAAACAAGTCCGTCACTTTAGCATTATTCAGATTTTGTTCAATGAATTGATCGCAAAGGCTTTCACGCCGGTCGTACAGGGTAGTGATACCCGTAATCTTTAATGCCTCACCATAACTTGAAAGGGAGACAATGATCTTTATAGTGCGTTCCTGGATTTGTTCGATGTCTTCAGATTCGTTGAACTGTGCCGTTAATACTATATGTAGCTACACCCGTTTAGCTTTTCTGGTTATCATTAATTCGTTTCTTGTCTCTCGTACCTCATAATCTGCCCAAAACGTCCACATTTCTATGTATATATATATATATATATATATATATATATATATATATATATATATATATATATATATATATATATATATATATATATATATATATATATATATATACAATCTCAGTTAAACGAAGAGAAATGCAAAGAGCTTCAAATTACCTTTGCAAGACCCGGGCGTACGTTTACACCCGTGTATGTTAATAATAAACCAATCGAAGTTGTCCCTTCTGCAAAGATATTGGGAATGCGAATTAGGAACGACCTTAAATGGAATACCCACATCTCAGAGATTGTAAAGAAAGTTTCAACAAGACTCTTCTTTCTTTGCCAACTAAAAAGAACAAAAATCTGTAGAAAGGACTTACTAACATTTTACCTGACCTGTGTGCGTCCTGTGATGGAATATGCTTGTCCCGTTTTCCACGACTCCTTACCCAATTACCTATGCGAAGATCTGGAGAAGTTACAGAAGCGAGCCCTTCATATAATCTTCTCAATGTTACCTTATGCAGAGGCTTTGGTAAAAGCGGGAGTTGACTCATTATTTAATAGAAGACAAATCCTAACTACTAAACTATTTAATGATATTGCAAATGACGAAAGTCATAAGGTTTACCAATTACTACCAAGTAAGAACTTTTCAAATTATAATATAAGGAAAGAGAACATTTTTAACGTTTCTATTAGTAGGACGAATAGATTTATAAATAGTTTTATACAGCATAATTCTACAATGTATTTTAGATAAAGTAAATATTTATATAAGGAAAGAGAACATTTTCAACGCTTCTATTAGTAGGACGAATAGATTTAAAAATAGTTTTATACAGTATGATTCTACAATGTATGTTAAATAATGTAAATATTTATTGTAAAGTTAGAAGCGTAATTCAACCCGTGGGTTGTAATGTTTTTAATTAATTAAACTATCTATCTATCTATCTATCTAGATATCTATCTATCTATCTATCTATCTATCTATCTATCTATCTATCTATCTATCTATATATATATATATATATAGTACAATATCTATATATATCTATATATCTGGATATCTATCTATCTATCTATATATATATATATATGCAGACATGCATGTTTCGGCGTTCAACGCCTCGTCAGTGCAGCTTGGTACACGTCTAGATACGCGAGACAATCGTATTTATACCCCATGAACTTGCTCTCACCAAGGCATGTGGTACAACGCGGTGAATCAACGCATCCAGACATGCGCATAGTGTAATGGGGCCAGAGTGCTCAAACGACCACAAGGGAAGTGAGCTTTGCATTATCGCTAATAGACACCCATTAACAACTCCGCAGAGTGCTCAACAACACCGAAGTGAAGGAGCGTAATGGTACAATCTGCAGACATGCATGTTTCGGCGTTCAACGCCTCGTCAGTGCAGCTTGGTACACGTCTAGATACGTGAGACACTCGTATTTATACCCCATGAACTTGCTCTCACCAAGGCATGTGGTACAACACGGTATATATATATATATATATATATATATATATATATATATATATATATATATATATATATATATATATATATATATATATATATCAAGAGCCAGCCCCAAAAAATCTTCATTTATAAATATCAAGAAATCATAAATCTTCAAAGTAAATAAATTATATTTTTACGTTTCAGGGACAAGCCCCTTCTTCAGAATAACGCTACATCATCTCCGTCTCTTGCTTAAATAGTCTAACGTTTAGCTATGCATAAATTAATTAAACCTCTTCCTTAAATTAAGCCCACGTGGGACATAACTATTTAGTTTCTCAATCCAAAAACTCTCCCTCTCAGTGGGGTTATTAACGTCCGTGACGTCAATAACCTGCACTAAAAAATCACTTAGACCTGAATGTCCCTCCCCCAAAAATGGGCATACAATTGTTGCCCACAAATATTTCTCTGCCCCCGCCCATATCTATTTAATGCACTCTTGTGGTTATTAAATCGCAATCTGAACGGTGTTATGGTATTCCCTACATATTGCAACCCACAGAATTTACAACTAATCAAATATACTATGCCCTCCGAGTCACAATCGAAGCGATGATTAATGCAGAAAGACCGCCCCTCAACATGGCTTTTAAAAGTAGCACCAATAATAACATTATCACAGATTTTACATTTCTTCTTTCCGCACTTAAACATCCCTACGACCGTTTCCTCTTCCCTTCTCAATTTAGAACGGACTAGGTGATCTTTAAGGTTTTTAGACCGACGAAAACACACCATTGGTGGTTCTGGCATAATACTTAAAAACCTTTCAGACCAACTTACAATTACTTGCAATTCCCTAAAGATATTGTAAAGGACCCTCAATGCTGGATGATAATCTATCACAAAACAATTCCTATTACTATTCTTAACACCTTCTTTCCCGCATTAACAAATTATTCCTGTCGACTTTTCTCACTCTACCAAACTGGTCATCAACAAAATCCGAATTATAGCCCCTCTTGACCAAAAAACCTTTTAGCTCGCTTAGTTTTTCCTCAAAAGCATTTTCCGAGTTACAAATTCGCTTTAAGCGCAAACCTTGACTATAGGGAATCGCTCTCTTGACATGTGGTGGGTGACAAGATTTAAAATTCAAATACTGATGTGCATCAGTAGACTTAGAATACACATCAGTATGGAACGCACCATTAACTTTATTAATCCACACATCAAGAAAAGCAATTTCCTGTGTACTAATTTCCCAGGTAAACTCAATATTCTCATGAAATGAATTCAACTTACTGAGGAAATTGTTTAATTCCTCCTCCCCGTGAAGCCATATCATGAAAACATCGTCCAAAAAACGCCACCAAACCCAAGGTTTAAGCTCGCAAGAATCTAAAAAACGTTCCTCGAAATTCCCCATAAATAAATTAGCAAAACCTGGCGCAAATTTTGTCCCAATAGCCGTTCCCAATTTTTGTCGAAACATATTTTCATCAAATTCAAAAAAATTATTTTTCAAAACCAATTTGGCAAGTGAGATTAAATCATCGACCGGCAAGTCCTTTTTTCAAAACCAATTTGGCAAGTGAGATTAAATCATCGACCGGCAAGTCCTTCCATATATATATATATATATATATATATATATATATATATATATATATATATATATATATATATATATATATATATATATATATATATATAAATATCAAGAAATCAAAAGCTTCAAAGTAATTAAATTATATTTTTTACGTTTCGGGGACATGCCCCTTCTTCAGAATAACGCTATATCATCTCCGTCTCTTGCTTAAATAGTCTAACGTTTAGCTATACATAAATTAATTAAACCTCTTCTCTTAAATTAAGCCCACGTGGGACATAACTATTAAGTTTCTCAATCCAAAAGCTCTCCCTCTCAGTGGAGTGTTGAGGGGCGGTCTTTCTGCATTAATCATCGCTTCGATTGTGACTCGGGGGGTATAGTGTATTTGATTAGTTGTAAATTCTGTGGGTTGCAATATGTGGGGAATACCATAACACCGTTCAGATTGCGATTTAATAACCACAAGAGTGCATTAAATAGATATGGGCGGGGACAGAGAAATATTTGTGGGCAACAATTGTATGCCCATTTTTGAGGGGAGGGACATTCAGGTCTAAGTGATTTTTTAGTGCAGGTTATTGACGTCACGGACGTTAATAACCCCACTGAGAGGGAGAGCTTTTGGATTGAGAAACTTAATAGTTATGTCCCACGTGGGCTTAATTTAAGGGAAGAGGTTTAATTAATTTATGCATAGCTAAACGTTAGACTATTTAAGCAAGAGACGGAGATGATGTAGCGTTATTCTGAAGAAGGGGCTTGTCCCCGAAACGTAAAATATAATTTATTTACTTTGAAGATTTATGATTTCTTGATATTTATATATATATATATTTATATATATATATATATATATATATATATATATATATATATATATATATATATATATATATATATATATATATACGTCGTCTTACCACTGCTTTATTTTATAAACACAAATTGGGGAAACGTATGATTGAAATTTTCGTTTTCAGTGAAATCGTCGATAAAATAGACAAAGATGGTAATGACAATGTAACTAAGACAGAATTGAGATCTTGGATGGAATATATTCAACTGAAATATTTGAGAGATGAGGTGGATAAACGTTGGTCTCCGATTGACACTGATGGCGATGGAATGATATCTTGGGACGAATTCAAAGAAAGACATTATGGTCATAAAATGGGTGAGAAATTATGCAATTTCAACTGAGCCATAGTCTTTGTGCGCGTGCAATGATTGAGTGATTATTAGAGAGGTTAAGATACCCCGGTTCCGGTTTACGGGTACGAGTATCGCCATTTTGTTAACCAATTTCTGCTGATGTCAGCATTTTTACCCGTAATTTCTACCCGTTTCCCCGCGGTAAACCATGGTCTACACGTAAAAGACAAACGGGTACGGGTGTTTTCTGTTTACTATTTGTGGGCCGTTTAAATAGTAAAAGTTTTCAACATCTTACCCAAATAAATAATGCATATATGCTAGTCAAAGTTTTCAACAATTTATGGCGAACTTTAATAGCGAAAGTTACCATTCTCTGATTGGTTTACTCACGCCGAAATATCTTGGATTTCTTAAGTTACAAGTCGTTCCCCGGTTTACGGGTACGGGTACGTGTATATCACCCGTACCCGTAAAGCGGAACCGGGGTATCTTAACCTCTCTATTATAATAATTCGATGCATGAGCATTCTTTACGTATCTAATCATTAACTTGGACAATCCTTGCATGGTATGATTTTTTGTACATGAAATGATTTTATTACGCAAATTTATACACATTTTAGACCAAACCACTGGGAGTCCATTGGTATAATTTTTTCCAGACCGCAGGCTATATTTTTCGCCTCTGCCCCTTCGTTAATTCATAGCCTGTCGAAGGGAAGATGGCTATGAAGCTGTTTAGAGTAACAATATTAACTCATTATCTAATATATTAGTACACGTTTATTCATAAATCTGGTCCTTCACCGTCACATGTGTATTGTATTTTAGCTAACCAATAGCAATGCTTCAGGAAAGTTACCTATCCGTGACTCGAACAATAAGGAAATTGGAAATTGCTATTTGTGGATTTGGCAAAAATACAATACACACGCACTTGACGGTGAAGGACCAGATTTATGAATAAACGTTGACTAAAATAGATAATGAGTTATATTTTTATTTTAATGAGTTTCACAGCCATCTTTCCTTCGACAGGCTATATATTTATATCGAAAATTATATATACAAAATTAGTTCTATTGAACGAGATGCCCAAAAATTTCAATATTTAGCCGGCTTGCACCTATTACTGGCATCATTAGATATGCTTGAATATGTGGTTAATACTGTAGGCTAGACTTTCCAGTTTCACTTCTTGATTGAGATCATGGCGAGTCCTGAAATGCGTGATTTCAACTGTATATACCAACTCGATTGTCAAGTATTTTACTCGTATAAATCTCAAATTCTCAATGTTTGTACTGTATAACATAATCTCGAACTATAGACGACGGACCACCTGGTTTATCGGCGTTTTGAGATACACAAATGTTTTTCAGAGTGTAGTTTTAGATTCGTCCGCACTGTTAAAAACTGATTTGTTAAGACCTATACATTTTTCTCCACGTTCCTCCATAATGCAAGAAATTACGTTTTAGTGACCCTGGTTTTGTTCCCTGGGGAACACGTCTCCGAGTATCCGACTCCTTTCGAACTGGGACATCACAATTATTAAGCGCCTCCACCCCTAAAAAAAGAAAAAAAAATCCTGGCGGTGCCATTGGAGATAAAAGGTGTACATAAAAAGTAAAGCACTTTAATTCAAGAGCCCCTATATACGTTTCACATTGAAACGTGATTGATGATTAATGATTTTGGTGATCGATGATTCTTTTGATTGCGTGCAATTGAGCGTGAACCTGGAAAACGTTTTAGCGACAATTCGAGATCGATGAGCAGACGAAATAATTTTGCGTGAACACTGTGCGTTTTGTGAAGGAATCTCGAACAATCTGTGAGAAAAAAAGGTGCGGCTTGCGAGAGATAATTGTATCTGAAAAATACAAGCAGAACGTCGACATTTCAAGCAAAGTTCTTTTCGAAGTTCTGCTTGTATTTGTCTGGTAGTTGTATCCCTAGCAATTCTCTTTTTGTGAAGAAGAGTTTATTTTACAAGTAACATGACTCGCAGTTAACAGTGGCGGCGCCAGGCTTCCAAATTTGGGGGGGGGCATTTGAGGGGCAAACTCAAATTTTGGGGGGGCAAGATAGAATTTTTAAAAAGGTCGCCCCTCCCAGGAAATTCGCCCCCCCCCCCCTCAAAACGTGGCGATATTCCTAGGAATATCGCCCCCGGAGGCGAATATCCTAGGAATATCGCCTCCCACGAGGGTGGGGCGAATACCCTAGGAATATCGCTCCTCTTTAGGACATTCGCCCCCCCCCCCCCATATATGCGATGTGGTTTATTCAAATAATTTCGTGATACTTTCATCTTATTATTGCCTTACACGTTTGAAAATTTAACTCTTCAAAACTAAAGCTTTTTTGTCTTTTTTTGAAACGTATTATTGGAGTATTGGCAAGTTTTACCATTCAGAGATTTACAAACTAATATTGAAACTGTAAAAACAGTTTCATGTATACGCGCATTCACTAATGAGTAATGACAACTTATAAGCCATACATTTTCCGATAACGACAGAACGCTTGTGTAGCCTTTAGTCGCTCTTAGTA